CAGGTGTCAACATCAGACGAGTGAACCCTGCAACACCCCCCGTCGCAGTGCCTGGAACCAGTCGAATGAGTCCTACACCATCCGACGTCGCAGTGCCGGGCGCAAGTCGAGAGAGTTCAACCACCGGCAACGATTCACAAGCGAGTGCGGGTAGCACGACAATTCGCTGTGAGAGTTGCAGCTGTGAGGTATCGAGGAATGCACATGCGGCACATCTGAAAAGCATTAAACATAAGGCACATCTATGGAGACCTTTACAAAATAATGTGTCAGTATGTCGAAGTGCATTTCGAGGTAGAATAGTTAGTTATCAAATAACCGCTAGCATAGAGACTTTGAACGTTACTGAATATATGAATAATGTGGCACAGGACTCCACAAACGTAATTGAAAATGAGTTGCATAAGCATACAACACTCAAAATAAATATGGAACTTTTTGGTTTATATATTTTACCAGCTAAAAACCGACGAGAGGTAAAGTCCCACAATACGAACAATGTAATAATTACACAATCCTCAAATTTGAATCAAATCTATTATGATCTAGGTAGTAAAATCGAACAAAAATCGAAAGACTTTGCAGAAAAAGACTCAGGGTGGGTGTTGGAAAGCATTTTATATTTAGAAATTAATATTAATAAATATAATCCTTTGAGGGCAGCAGCATATTTGCCGCTTCCTAAGGAAATCACGAACAAAAAAGCTGTACTCAACATACGTAACACGGATGAGTACTGCTTTGCATGGTCGATTGTAGCTGGTATGATAAAACCAAAGGGTCGAGCGTCACTAACAACGTCATATCCACATTTTTCGAACATTCCTGGTTTAAACTTTGCAGGAATGGACTTTCCAGTTGCTCTCAAGTCAATATCAGAATTTGAAAGATTGAATAATATGTCAATTAACGTTTATGGAATAGAAAAGGAATTCATTGATGGAAAGTCTAAATATCAGGTGGTAGGACCGTTACATTACACGGCGCAAAAACAACCCACTCATCTGAACTTATTACTTATTGATGATTCAGAAGGTAACCATCATTACTGCTTAATTACCAACTTTTCAAGACTCGTTTCAAGTCAGTTGTCACTTAATACGAGAGTAAAGCATTTTTGTGATGGCTGTTTACAATACTTTGCATCAAAAGACAAACTGGAAATTCACATCCAAAACTATTGCAAACACATTGCAGTTAAGCTGCCCCAACTGGAAACCAGAGTTGATCGCCTTGGAAACACGGTAATGGATAATGTGCTGAAATTTGAACAGCATCACAAACAATTAAGACTACCGTTTTGCGTTTATGCGGACTTTGAATGCATCCTAGCTCCGATAGACAATCACTCAAGTGCTTCAGAGGATGTATGTACCATCAAAAAGTATGAACATAGACCCTCCTCAGTTGCTTATTATATTAAATGTTCTTATAATGATTCACTATCCAAGCTCGAACTGTATAGGGGTGAGGATGCTGCAGAAATTTTTGTTACGCGTTTAGAGGCTGATCTTAAATTAATATATGATCAATATTTAAAACAAAATGTAGCGATGAAAATGACGTCGCACGATAAAAATGTGTTTGATAAAGCAGAGGTATGTTTCATTTGTGAACATCCATTTACCAATACAAATAGAAAAGTTAGGGATCACTGTCATTTCACCGGGCAATATCGTGGCGCAGCACATAGTAAATGCAATCTAAACTATAAGATCCCAAAATACATTCCAATATTTTTCCACAACCTCAAAAACTATGATGCACACCTATTCATAAAACACCTCGCTATGAAGCAAGAACAAATTAAAGTGATTCCACAATCTTTTGAAAAATATGTTTCATTTACGAAATTGATACCTGTAGACACGTACATTTCCCACGAGGGAAAATCACAAACTGTATTTTTGCAGATGCGATTTGTCGATTCATATCAGTTTCTATCGTCAAAATTAGAAACCTTGGCATCCTTTTTAAGCGCAGAACAATGTCGGACGGTACGAAAAGTCTTTCCTGAGGACGAAAAGTTCTCCTACATGAGATGCAAAGGTATATTTCCATATACATATCTGAATAGGTTTGATAAATACGATGAAACATGTTTACCATCCCAACAAGACTTTTATGATGAAATACGTGATGAACACATTTCTGACGAGGATTATGAGCGAGCACGTCATGTCTGGGAAGTAATGGAGTGTCAAAATTTGGGGGAATACTCTGATTTTTACTTGACTTCGGATGTTCTTCTTTTAACAGATATCTTTGAAAATTTCAGAGATTTGTGCTTAAAAACGTACCAGCTTGATCCAGCTCACTATTTTACAGTCCCCGGTTTGAGTTGGGATGCGATGCTACGATACAGCAAAGTAGAGTTACAGCTGCTTACAGATGTTGATATGATTAATTTTTTTAAAAAGGGAATTCGGGGGGGGGGGGAGTCAGTACATGTACCTCACGTAAAGTTGAGGCGAACAATAAATTTCTATCACATTACGATCCGTCAAAGGTATCATCGTATTTAGTTTACCTTGATGCAACAAATTTGTACGGTTATACGATGCAACAGTACCTACCAACTGGTAATTTTGCATGGTTAACACGAGATGAGATCATTGACATGTTAAAGGTTATGGACCCGCCCGTACCTATCCTTGTACGTACAGCTGCTTGCAGCCAACGTTAGAAAGAAACATCCGAGAGAGAGACGGAGCTAACGCGGGCAAAAATCCGCGCGCTTAACAGGATTTGGATGGTTTTAAAGTTATGATATCTTTATAAAAATAGATTTAGGCAAAGGGAATGGGATTTTTATACTTCTACTCGATAAAAAAACGATAATATATATAATATTAATTTTTATTCACGTACTTACAAAACAAAAACCTTAATCTACAGAATACAGTATGAAAAATTCTTAATGATAATTATTGATATTACAAAAAGTTATTCTATATAAAAAAAAGAATTATTGATGGCTAAAGGTGATAGTTTTGGTCAGATGTTGCCTTATTCTATAGCGCGGTTCATTTTTTGTAGTGTTGATGTGGTGTATTCTAATTGAAAAGTAATTTTTTAATATAAGCCTAATTAATTGCAGGCAATGGCTCTGTAATGGATCCTGATCCTGGAAATGACTTTTCAAGCCAACGAATAGTGTGTCGAAATTGAGTTTCCTTATCGACAAAGATATCAATTTTAGCATAAGGTTTAGAGCAGAAAAGTTTGATTCTGATTTGATTAAGCCTTCTGCACATATGCACACTTTCACAACATCTCTGGATGGCTTACAGAGACCTCCTCGATTTTTTTTATTTAAAAGCAGCGACAAAGAATTGTCCGAAGTTAAAGCATTAGCACATTCATTACAATTTAATGCTTTAACTAATTTCTTGCTGATAAACCCAGCAATATACTCAACAATGTCACAAATATATGTGCAGTTGGCAATTGTGTTATAGTTTTTAATGAATAACTCATCTTCCGCATCTGAAGATTCTGTCTGTTCATATAATAAGTCAGTAGTAAAAATTGAGTTATTTTTGCTTTCAATGGTAACATTTAAAATCGAGGTATTGTCCTGTGCCAGACAATTTGCACTATCTGAGGTAGTTATTTCACTATGAATTAAGAGTCTTTTATATGCATTTTCGAAATGCCAGGCAGTCGGGTTGTTCGAAAAGCCTCCCCTTGAACGGATTGCTGAAAAAAATATTTCAAGATGATCTTGACTTAGCCTATAAGTTAATAAAAACTGTAGCTTATCACCCTCAACCACATCTTCAAATAAATTCCTAACACTTAACAAACAAACAATGAGTCCTAGAAAACCAGTTTTCCTGTCTGTTTCTATTACTTTATCGTGCTTTTGATCTGTCAATGAACTTAAATATTCTACAGATTCTTTGATAAAATTTTTGAAGGTTTCGCTGTTTCCCTTGAAAAGAGGCCTTTTACAAGGAGTTTTCCCATAGAAATTTCTAACATTTAAAACGTCAAAAATATTGTTAAATTTTCGACAGAAAGAAACAGTTGCTTCACTACCTCTAAATTTTGTAATATTCAAGTCCTGATTACAGTATTCTAGGGCATCACCAACACTAGCACTAAAGGTCTGGACAGCAAGCTTCACTTTCATTTTTTCTTTGTAATAGTTAATATGTCGAGACCTTAGTCTAGTGGCACAATGAAGCCCTGATTCCTCTTGCAGCTTCACCAGTTCTTTAAAATAATACCATTTAATGGAGTCTCCATTTCCATCACATAATATGCCCCAATCACCCAAAGTATTACGTACTAATTTAATCATGTGGCATGCGTCCAAAATGATATGTACTTTTTCCTTATTCACTGGGTTTATGAAATATGGTTTCATTCCAGGAAAACTGAGCTTTGCTCCCAGCAAATTTGCCATCGAAATGTTGGATGCACACCCATCAAATGTGATACTTTTAATCAGCACCCCAGTTGTTTCCAACTGAAGGAAAGACCCTTTAATTAACATTGCATTTTCTTCAGCAGATAAAGCATCTACTAAAAAATAGGCAATGGGAACCTTCCACCTTGTATTGTAACCTACAAGCATTATCACAAATACATGTTTTGCATGTGGTAATTGGTCACTATTCTGCATACCAATTCCATAATCAATGTATCCAACATTCCTACTACCAGTCCAATGTACATGCTCACGAATGGACATCTCGTCAATCACAAGACCTGCTATAAGTTGCTTTCCTTTTCCTTTTTCAATGTCAACTTTCATTTTGACAGCCCGTATTGCTTCTGCACTAAACCCCGGTGTACCATCTACAGTAGAATACCATTTTGTTAGTGTTCTAGGATGCGGGAGAGAATTTTTGCCAAACACTTTTCTAACATACTGATATGCAGAAGAAGAATAAAAATTTAATGTTAAAGCAAAGCAACTCAGTTGAGGGCTATATTTTCCTCCTTTGATGCCCTTTTTGAGGTGCCTAAACAGTATGGCTTTTTGTACTTCAGGAATACTTTCCTAGAAATATAAAAAAGAACCTTGCTTAAACAATGGTAATGGAGCCTGTTAGTGCGCTGCTTTTTTCATGGAGCATATATACATACTATACAATCAACTATACATATGTGTGTATGTGCCTCGCATTCTTCCCATGAGCAAGTAATTATTCTACTGATCAAAGGACTTTATTGTGCAGCAGATGAACATTAAGAACAAGATGCAAACTACTAAGTATTTACAGAAAACAAACAAACCAACTATGTGTGATGCAAAAAAATAAATAGTTTACCTTCAATACCATGAGCTGCTGTGATGAAATTTTCTCTTTTTCCATCAATTCGTCCAACAATAAATTAAGGCTTTTTATCTTCTTCTTTTGTCTTCTGGCTATGCACTGATAATACCTGATATTTCTCCTAGACTTTGCTATAGTATGATGAGCTACCTTCCAAAATCTTTTTCTCTTCTGCACATCATCTAAATCACTTTCTTTGAAGTCCCCAAAGAAAATTTGATCTCTTCTCCTTCTAAAACAATAAGAAACATTTAACACATAATGAAAGAAACTAATTTCTGATCTGTAAATTCATTTAATAAATGCTTAGGTAAGCAAGTAGATAGAAAATAAATAGCAATAACTGTTATCCTGTTACCTTTTAGGGAATTCCATTTGAGATGTAGTAGTAGGTTGCTCAGAATCTATATCCTCATTTTCAGCACTGACAGATTCACTTGACATAACTCCTAATACTGGTTCAGTATTTATGCCTGATGTACTGGCAATAGCATCATGTTCTGTAAATAATATTAATCAATAGACGGTTCAGTCATTACTTATGTACTGAAGTGCTAACCTTTGTTATCAGATATCTTTCGTTTTAAAGGTCTCCTTATTACTACTTTTTGCTGTAAATGTACGGGGAAATTAAAAACAGAAGGCACTGCAGTTTTCTTGAGAACTGTATTTCCATGTACATTCAGCTCAAAATCGTCCTTTGTAAAGTGATTTTCGCATATAACTGTCCTATCACTCGGATTAAAATTCTCCCTTCTTATGGCAACTAACCACTGTTTCCTCCTTGCGGGATCCTTGGGTATACTGAAAGTAGAAAACTCTAGTTATAGCCTTTTCATGACCAAAGTTTCTGTTATTTAATTCTGTAATCTTTGCCATAACCACTGGCCATAACCTACCTCAGAAATTTTAATTTCACCCCTTTTTCTCTTCTGGTCGTACAGTTTATAGCACAACAAGACTGCACCATCTTGTAATTGGTTTGAAGTTGTGAAAAATCAACAATTAAAACTAATTTCAAGGCAAAAATATGAGTAAAGCTTTCCACAGTGAAAGAAACACATGCACAATACAGATCTAACGTACGACGTTTGCCCGCGTTAGCTCTATCCTTCACGTGCTGTCTCTCTTGCACTGCGCCGGCGTCAATTCCAAACGCGAACGGCAGGTCCATAACCTTTGATATGTCGATGGATGAGATGGATAGGATTCAAGAGACAATTACACAGATTTCGGATACATCGGATATTGGGTATGCATTAGAAGTCGATTTAACCATACCGACTGAGCTACATGATTATTTCAACGATTTACCATTTTGTCCAGAAAATTTTTAACCACCCGACAGTCAAAGCTCAAAATTAATTCCAAATTTGCACAACAAAGAACGCTACATTATCCATTATCGTAATCTAAAGCAATGTTTGAAACATGGTATTATTTTAACAAAAATTCATAGAGGCATTAAATTCACACAATCTGCCTGGTTGAAGTCCTACATACAGTTAAACACCACACTTAGAAATGCAGCACTGAATCCTTTTGAAAGAGATTTGTTCAAACTAATGATCAATTGTATTTTTGGAAAAACCATTGAAAATATGGAGAACAGAGTCGACATCAAATTAGCTACTCAATTTGAAAAATCTAAACATAAAATAGGTGCTGCAAATTATATTAGTAAACCAACTTTTAAAGAGCACAGAATATTTTCTGAAAACTTAGTAGCCATTCAAATGGAAAAAACAATGATTGATTATTGTCGTCCCACATATGTTGGCTTTTGTATTTTAGATGTCTCAAAAACGGTAATATATGACTTTTTCTATGACTTTCTGAAGCGTCAATATGGTGATAAGGTGTCTGTAGCTGACACGGACACTGATTCGCTAATAGTACATGTTGAAACCGATAATTTCTATGAGGACATGAAATCACACATACATTACTTTGACACATCCAATTATGATGCTTCCAACCCACATAATATGCCTCAAACAGCGTCAGAGTTGGGTAAGATGAAAGACGAATATGCTGGTAAGATACTGTCTGCATTTTATGGTACAGGTCCCAAAGCATACTGTATAGATGCGGTAGACCAAGTAGCTAAACGAGCCAAAGGTATATCTAAGGCGAGTGTAAAAAATCAGTTACATTTGTTACATTATAAGGATATTGTTGAGGAGAAACGGACATCTGTATACTGTACGATTTATGTATTTAAATCGGAGTCGCACAATATCTACACAAATTATATAAAAAAGTAGCATTGACCAGTACGGATGATAACTTGATACCAAACTCAACAAAGACATTAGCTTGGGGTCATCAAGATATATTATTTCATAACATGTCACATGAGGAGCGCTTGGATACATTACTGCACTTGATGCAAGAAGCCATTGTGTTGAATAATAAGCATCAGATAGCATGATCATAGAATAGGGGTTTGTGGTGGGGACAAGAATATAAATATATTCTTAACAAACGCACCTCATTCAGTTTCAAAGATGAGTACTACGACATACTATTCACTGTACATGCAATTGTGTCATGTAACTGAAGAGGTGTTGAAAAACCAGCTTCGACAATTTGTGACTCGAAATCCAGAAAAACGAGAATTTCCAGTGCTGGACTTTGTGCTAGAGGAAATTACAATACCTGACGAAGTATTCAATTGGATTACCAATGCCCACAGTTGCCATCCCCACGTGCTTTCCAGTGTAATAACAAAAAAGAAACATCTATATTGGGTGGTACAGGAAACACTGCAAAGTTTAAAAGAGAGAGATTATGAGGTTTTAAGCATCAAAGAATTTGGAGACCTACTGGAAAATATGCCCTACACACCATCAGCATATGAACAATATTATTTATGTAAGTTGTTATCTGATAGTAACTATGAAGATGTAGATAAACCGCATCCTGTAGAAAATATTACGAAGAGGTATAAAGACATTGTATCACATATCGATGAAAGCATCTGTAAAATCGCATATCTAGCTGATTGTGTATCACTAGAACGTTTAATCGATATTATACAGCAGCATGATATTAAATTTGTATTTGATGTAGAAAATAAGATGAGACATTATACTGTATTGAAATGTATAAAGAAAAATATAGCCAAGGGTAACATTGGAGATGAAACCCTCGGATGGACCTCTGGGCCCTGTAGTGTGAAATGGCCATTCACCAAATTCGAAGATTATGTAGCATGTTTAAAGATCTTGTGTGATTTATCCAAAACGTAAATACTCTGTGTGGGACAAAATTCATTAATATATATATATCTATGTCAGCATGAACGGTAGTATCATTTTCCCTTGCACTTGCGTCAACTTTTGGGAGGGGGAAGTTGGTGAATGGAGGGGTGATCAACACTGTATAAAGTTAGCCACGAAGCTTCATATACCAGTCTTCTGAATTTCACATAACGTTACAACATGAGTGCCGGTGTGCAAAACGACAAGGGGGTACGATCTGTACAAAGTGGGGTAGATCAGACACCGTTAATTGTCATCCAGGAGCAACGATATCATCTAAATCCATCGAAATCAAAATGGATAAGCATTGGTCGAGCATATCAGTGGAGCTTCCACCCTGTAATCAATATCAGTGGTTTGAAAAACAATGGCGTTACGTTAAATGAAGAAGACTGGTATGAGATATTAAATCAAGAAGGCGTTATAACCAATTTTTTCTTCAGTGATGATATTTTCCATTCGGTCAGTGCCAACTCTGTCTGTATCACCTTTGAGAGATTTCCAGATTTTCAAACAATCAAAATTGAAGATCGATGGAGAAACGTCGTTTATTTGGGTAAGGAGACCGTATCGAAGCTATTTCAATTAGCCCCGCTGGTTGCCTACACCATTAATATGCTGAAAACTCAGGAGTTTAATAAGTATTTCAACACACTTGTCCAAGATGTGCGAACCACCAACATCGATGTGCGAGACTTCGTCATCCAACACATCTCTGATTTGCCGCATTCGGAGAACATCAGGACTGCTATGGAACTGGCATACCAACATCCAAACTTGAAGGAATTCAACAAGGCTCCAACGCTGAAATTTTATTCAGACTATCCTAACTATTCTGTAAAGTCATTGTAATTAAAAAGAATTTTAAATTACTTATCGTGTTTTATTGAAAAAGCTGTGTTATAAAACTGATTGGTTTAAATAATATACATGTCATGCAAGTAAATCACTTTTTCTAATCCACGAATTATGTCTGTTATCCAGTCCTAAGTACTTGACTAACACTTTATTTTTTTTACGTCGCACCACTTTCTCTACAAGATAGATATTTGGATACTTGACTGTTTGAAGCTCCTCAGCGTAAAATCCACCTAGAATCTCGTCACCGCTCGAATCAGCCAGTAAGTATGATGTGGGATTGGTATACTGTATTTTACGGATTGTGAAAATTTCATTGGACCAGTTAGGAGTGTATCCTTTAGCAAATGCTGTCCTATGTTTGCTTATGCGGACATGATCTCCACGTTGATATTTAACACCCTTTGGATCTAACGTTTTCAAATGTGTGTATGCCGTTCTCAACAGTGTTTTTGCTGTACTTTTGTTCACGTCTTTGGGTTTCATCCCAATTGTGCTGTGTTTGGTGTTATTATATGCATCAACGATTGATGGAGATCTAACCATTTATACGATCCCTGAAAGCTGAACTGCTTCCACATACGATTCTTCAAAGTGCGATTCACCCTTTCAACTACACTTGCTTTAGTCGCTGAGTAGGAGCTGTAATGATTAATTTTGTACGCTTCCATTAACTTCTTAAAGTCACTATTGTAGAATTCTTTACCCAGGTCTGTTTGTAAATTTTTCGGAATTGTCTGCATTTGCGATAAAATTGTACTCATTGCAGCTGCCACATCTTTTCCAGTTTTTCGTTTGACTGGTTCTGCCCACACAAATTTACTGAAAACGTTGATGACAATTAAAATGTAACGGAATCCTTTGTTAACTTTCTGATACGGAAGCATTTCCACCAAATCTGCCTGTAAGACATCGTTGATACCCTTCACAATAACGCGTCGACGTCTATAATTTCTGCGAGCCGGTTTATGAAGTTCCTCAATGACCTGCTTTTTAAAGTCCATCATTCTTGTATGATTGGAAAGCGCATCACGATATTACCTATAAGGTCAGGTTTTGGTTCATGAGATGAATAGAAGTTCAGAATATCCCCTTTCGACAGGTGTGTGTCGACTTTGACATCACTTTGACCACATTTCACTCTTATTTTGGGAGGTATATTTATACTATCAACTATCCCGGTCACAGGAACGATATAGTCCCTACTATTTTCACCAAATGTGTAAAATAATGCGCTGAATGTGTTGAAATAAATGGGTACCACACATACGCTGAATAGTTTAGATGCTAGAAAAGCTCTGAAGATTGAAGATATGTCCCTCTTTTTTGAATGGAGCATATGTCTTCCAAATTTATCAATTGGCATCTTGATCGTACAACTGCAGCAACGAAAATAGAGTAATATTACGTTACAACTTCATTTTATAATTTTTAATTCGCGCAACTCCTCAATTTGGGACCTCGGTTGGCCGCGTGGGTCAGAGTGTCGTGCTACTGATCAGCCGGCCGGCCGGGCCGCGAGTTCGAATCTCGCCTTCGCCATGGATGTTGTGTGTTTGTTTTAGGCAGCAGCGGTGGCCGCAGTAGTAGACTCTTCGGTCTCCTGATCAGTCGCCGTGCGCTGTGCGGGTTCGAGTCCCGTCCCAGGAGAAATTTTTCTCTTGGCTATGGATGTTGTGATTATCCGTAGGTGGTAGATGGTCTCTGACTGTCGAACGCGGAGGTACCACCCGGCGGTTCTCGTAGGCGGAGCCAGAATGTGTGCATGTTGCATGCACACGTGTTCCCTCGCCAGAGTCCGTGTGGCGTCCCCCCTTTTCCCATGTATCTCCCTATAGCCCCACGGTACCCAATGGGTGCTTAGGCCTTAGGCCTTCGTGGTAGTTGGAGTATAAAAAAAAAAATATAGACATGATTTCATTATTATGCCCGTTATTACCAGCATACGCAGATGCGATG